CCTTTGGTTGCTTGCCGTAGCCGCGCTACCGCTAACTTCTCAGCGTCAGCTGCCCAGCATTAGCGCCTCTGCGCTGGATTCTTAGCGTGGGCCCATTCACATCAGTTGCTCTACGTTAGCTTCTCTGCTACATTAGCTTCTTGGCTTACCCTTCTGCATTGGTCGCTCCGGGCGAACTGCACTGCATTTACACACCTCATTGAAAAACTAAACTGCCCTACTTGCGATTTGTTTATCTAAAACAAGCAGGAAGTTAAGTGTAGGAAATGACTTCTATTGTCTGAAACAATTTCTGTTTATGATTCCACTGTTGATTGTGGTGTTTGTCATTTCTTGTATTAATTGCCGCCCATCGTTCCTTCAGTACTACAGCAGATAATCATTTTATCTAGATTATTGTTCCAACGTCTTACAATCCACACCCAGGTCTGAACTCCTAAAAGATAAATAATGAACAAACAATTCTGGCATGAGCCATGCAGCAGCCTCGTCCTGTAGCCTTTGCTGCTGATTTTGTTGTGCATGCATGATAAAAATCACTACAATAACCTTAAACATTTGCAATTTGACCCAGCAAGTAATCATGTGTATGCAAGGGGCATACACACCCCTGGTGGTGGATATTGCTCAGAGACCAAATGGTGGACTGACTCCACCAGCCATGGGATTTGAACCAGCAACCTTCTGGGCACTGATATAATGCCCTGAGCCCCACCCCACACAGACAAGCCTTTGGCTGATCGCCACAGGATCCCTCCCGGTATGGCAGTTTGCTGATGCCGGTGGCAGCCGGCCGAGGCAGCCCTGAGATCCCCAATCGTCCGTCTTCCGTCGCTGACAGCCTCCTGACATTTGCAAACCACACGCCTGCCTGCAGTTGCCTCCATGTAATCAAACTCTCGCTCCACTTGTCCGCTGTGGAGCGTAACAGGTAACAACTGTCCCCTGTAGCCTGTCTCTAGAGCCACGGCAAATGTAAGCATGGATAATCGCTCAAGCACTGAAGTGGCAGACATACTTCTTGGATGTGTTGTATTATGCATTTAAAATATTTGAGGGTGAGCTTTCAAATATTCTCTGAGACTTATGCATTGCTTTTGACATTAGGGAAAAGGTACAGTAGAAATATTGTCTGTAAGCGGGGATTGCAGCCTGTATAGAGTGGGAGGTTTTGGATGAAGGCAGGACCAGACCTGCGGGTTAAGCATTCCTGCTGTAACCCAAACCTGCCCCGAGTGCGATCCACTTCGCAGCCTGTCACGCCTCATTGCCGCAAGCGGCACTCTGACAGTTAAAAATTAGCAAATAAAATGGCGTTCTTAAAGTGCAGCTTTCATTGGTCTTTGGACAAGAATGACAGGCCCATAAATACTCAGACAGGTGCAACTGGCTACGACCTTGCGGATCATGCGCCTCAACACAAGCAGGACTGAGCAGCAGGACCCGGCGCCGTTAGATTTGTCTGAATGATACTATAAGGCTGTGACCTTCGTGTGCATTTACCTGGGGTAGGTGTTAGGAAATGTGCTCCCTGTTTTCCGGGTAACAGATATGCAGACCCCTCTGATGCCCATTTCACTGACAAACAGCAGATGCGATTGTATTGAGGTCCTATGGCTCCCTGGGATGCATTAGTATCTCAGCACCTAATCCAGGGTTTCTGCTAAACGCAGTATTTCCTGATGACAGATCGGGTATAACAGGTGGGATGGGGAAGGTGGGCACGCATGCATGAAGTCCCCACAAACACACAGCTTAACATTCTGGCCCAGGAAGCAATCTACCCCCCCATCGCCCCCAACCCCCCCGTGGCACTCCCCATCACTCCTGGCCGCCGTGTGTGGTGACTCTCCTCACCACAGCCCCAGAGGGATCGATTTCACAGGATCACAGAAGCCGTGCTGGTTCCCATTCGCACACAAGACACGGGGTCATTCAGACGGCTGCCCCCTCATCTCTGCTCATTACTGGGGGGTCACAGGGCCACAGGGAAGGTTCCTTCTGGAGAACAGTCCTCAGTCGATTCTGGAAGCGGTTAGAATGTTCATGTTCCCCTTATTCCTCATAATCAAATTAGCACCATTATCCAGACCTCGCTATGTCTAAGAAGCCATTCATTGTCATCTAGCATTTTGCTAGAATTTAGTGTAACTGTGTAGTTAGAATCAGGTGCGCCATGGCGGGATTTGGAAGGCCCCTGAGCAACTGGGGCCATAAAATGTCTGACATAATTGGATTGATCTGTGTTGGGGGGCCCAGTACGGTCGGCTTTAACGGAGGGCAGAATCCCGGTTAGAATGTGGACTGGATACATTTACTGGCACAAAAATGAAATGGAAAAGAAAAGAAAAGAAAGTATTGTATTTAGGAATTGACTGTCATTTTGATGCCGCCAAATACAATGGCAGCTATCACACAAAGTTAAATAATTCCTGTATGCTTCACCCTACCTCTTTCAAGCCCTGAAAGAAAGGCAGCTTTCCTCTAAATAAGAGTTGACTTTACAGAATTATTCATAAATAATATCAGTCATTCTATTGAATGGCCATGAATGCCTAGTATAGAAACTGTCTGTCGCACGCTGTCTAAACGACCCACACAGGACTCAGCTTATTATTTATTGAAGAACTCTTCCGCGAATCGGGCAGCACGACTGAGTGCCCGCTCTTACAACTGCTGACTGACGTACCCCGTGCACGTAGGCCGCTCTAGGTGTTTCTCCTAGGGGGTACGAGCTGAAAGAGCCCAACCAGTCATTCATTTTAATGTACTCCGAACTGAGCTACACATAAAACTCCGTAAATACACTTACTTCTGATTCCTACTTCTCATTGCTATGTGGCTCATTTCCAAGTATTGATTTACAATATAATTTTATTACATTGAAATAAATGTTTGAATAGCATTGCCCGTAGGTGCGCATGTGTGAGTGACTGGTGTGTGAGTGCCTGGTGTGTGAGTGCCCTGCGATAGGCTGGTAGCCCATCCTGTGTTGTCCCTCCAGGATAGGCTCCAGACCTCCAGTGACCCTGAATAGGACTAGCGATTTCAGAAAATAGATGGATGGGTAATATGTTTAAATGGCATTTTCATCTGACCTGTAGGGGGTGCAATTTCACTCCTTGCGCCACATGTAAAATTGCCGATGCTCATATATGACACAGCAAAGGACCAACTGTCTAGGGTAATTTAGGGCAACATAGGCTATGGTGTTATTCTCTCAGGCCTAAAAAGTAAGCTTGTAAGTAAAAGTAAGTCTCTTTTTGACAATATAATAAAATATCCTTAAAAGAAATTTCTGAACAACCTGTACTTAGATATAGAGCCATGTATGATTTCTCCACAAAGGTCAGATGAAAGGTTTAATAAACTACAGACAGAAGTGGAGGAGAGGCTTTTACGTCTGCAGCAGCATGTCTGCTAGGTAAGCATTTGTAAATATAAATACTGAGTATGTCAAATTCCTGGAAGGCAAGAGTCAGACATAGACAACCTCTCATGCGAGGTTATATGAGAAGCTTTCAAGAGGAAGTGATGTCAGAGTCTTCGTCTTTAAAGGATTACCCAAAACTCCTAATTAGAGCAGGTGATGAGGGCATGGAAGGCACTAGCACACAAAGCAGTGTGGGAGGTCTGGGTGCACTTGAAGTACAGCTCACTACTGCAGGGATGCCGTGAAAAGGGGGACAATTCCAAGGGCCCCTGAGTGACAGGGGCCGGAAAAAATGTGGAACATAATTGGATTAGTCTGAGATGGGGGCCCAATGCTTTTATGGGGTCCAAAATCCCTAGCAGCACCCCTGCTCCACTGCCCACCCACCCAACCACATGCAGCTATAGCAAATACAGTCTCTGGGTAGCTAGAGGCTGTGACCAAACACAAGAACAACAATGCCGCAAGAGGCTGTGTGCTATACCTCACAAATGGGGCCGTGACACGGGCCGTGTGCTGGGCTATACCTCACAAATTGGGCCGTGTGCTGGGCTATACCTCACAAATGGGGGAATCAAGTACCTTAACTTCATCCATAACTGTCTGGTAAGGAAGCATACACACTTGTTATATTCTACTTACCGTATTCGGGGGCGTGGCCTCAGGGGTACTGGCCCCAGCTGAAAGCTGATTGGCCCTGGAGTGTCCCCTCTCCTGTCACTCTAAGATTCAAAACATATCATTGGCTAATAGTAAGTTGACCCATCTGTATTAATTATGGCCCCTCTTATGCCCCCAACACTGAAAAATCCTAGAAATGCACCCGAGAGTATTTATTATATTTAACTGATACAGTTGCTCATATGACTGCAATGTACCGCCCTGCTGTATTTACACACTTGCAGCTGTTACCGAATGTGAGCTGTGAATGTGTTATGTTATGCCGTGAATGTCTTCTGTCTAGTGCCCATATGGACAGTCATTGCCATACTCTGGACTGAATCCAAATGCCATCTACTTAGTTCTGCACCAATAAAAGTATCCTCTGAATGTGACCAGTATCCAGTTTGCATTATTACACTTAGCTTATAATGCAAATATTAATATAGAACATTCCTGCTTGACCATATAGTGTCATAAGACTGGGGTTTATGAAAATGTGTTTTTTTATTGTTTTTCTTCTTTAAAAAGTATTACCCTCCAAATCTTATTAGCTACTCGCTACAGCCAACATCAGGAAGTCCGGTTTTATGTTGCAGGTACAGACTGCCCCTTGCTATGAGGTCCTGTGTTACATGGTAGGTACAGACTGCCCCTTGCTACTGAATGACTGTCCGCGTTAGCTATGAAACTTTCCCACGGCCAGCTGACGGGCTGACCACTGACTTGCCACTTCACGAAGGCAACAAACACCCACAATGCAAGGTGATTGGGGCGGGGCACATTGCTAAAGGATAAGTCTATTGGCTTTTGTCAGTGTTATTCAAAGAGAGGTGTATCTGATTGGCGTGCGCTTCGAGTTGGTCCCGCCCATTGACCGGCGGATACGCGCATCTCAAACCGTGGGAAAGCGCTTTAAACGCGCTGTTCGCCGCGGAGCCTGCAGTCGGACGCCGTGGGAAGTTCAGTGAGCCGGAGAAATGAAGAGGAGCCAGGATTTCAGCTCCTCCGACAGCGAGCTGGATGAAAGCACGGAAATCGATAAGGAGAGCGCCGATGAGCGGGGGTCAGGCACCGTGCGTTTAATCCTCCTTCCTTGTCTTACAGAACACTTAACAAGTTATAAACCCATAAAAATTCCTGCGCCCTGTTCATATTGACAGCGTTGAGACAGTTATTGAAGTACGAAAAATATGTAGTATATGAAAACAATTATCATAACGATTAATTATAGCATTAATTATTTGTTATTATTATGTTTATTATTGTTGTTGCTGCTATTATTATTATTATTATTGTTGTTATAATTATTATTATTGTTATTATTAGGGCGCAAGCAATTTTTCTCTATAATTATTGTTGTTAGTTTTATATTAATACTAATGCCAATAATAATAAAATTAAAAGTAGTCTCTCGGCTAAAAAAAAAACCGTCAGTATTAAAGTGAAGCAGTTCCTGAAATCGGGACTTGTGCGGTGTCTCTGTACAGGACCCTACGGACGCTGCGTGGCTCCGCGAGTCCGTCCGCTGTGTCTCAGCTGCAGGCGAGAAAGCGCCGCAGAGGGGTCGGTATTCCTTGTTATGAGTATAATCTGTACTCATCCTGTCATTTTATATGTTCAATATGCTCTGTATTTTTAAGATTTTTACATGTCAGTGCGTCATTTGGGTGATCTGCTTATATGTCCCTTTATATACCGTTTATACTGATCTCAACATGTACGCTACTCTTGCGTCACTTGTGTGGCTCTGTACGTCTGTTTCTGTATGTCTGGTAACCTTGTATGTCTGAAATTGTCTTACTGTATATCTGGGTAACTCCGTTTGTGTGTCAGAATTTGGCGCCCCTGCCAGCGCCCGTCTTTCTTTTGCCAGGATCCGCCCATGGTTGCGTTTGCCAGTTTCTCAAAGGCGTTTGTTTCACCTACAGATTATCGAGAAGCGGCGGCGTGATCGCATCAACCACAGTCTGTCTGAGCTCCGCAGGCTGGTGCCCAGTGCTTTCGAGAAGCAGGTAACGCTAATGAAATGGATGTTTCATGCAAACAGAAGACAATCATTTTTGTGGTTTTGTTTAATAGAAATGTAAAACATTATAAGAATGTGAATCCACAAAAAAATTTGTCTATCTATATATTCTGCCTTATTTCAGGGCTCAGCAAAACTGGAAAAGGCTGAGATTCTGCAAATGACTGTAGATCACCTGAAGATGCTGCATACTGTGGGTGGCAAAGGTAATATAGATGCTCGACATGCATATCTGTCTTAGTGCCTTATTTCTTGGTCCCACTATAACTCTGTAGCACTGTGATTTATCCAGATGAGTGTAATGAGTACATTTTGCGTTAAGTTATTAAGCATATTTCGGTAACAATTTACTTGATGGGGCACAAATAATGTAGTATTGTGCTATTACTTATATTTATATTAATTAACCATAAACTGAGTCTTAGTTACATACTGATCTCATGTTCATCATTAATGAATCATTACACATCTTTTATTTCAAGCAGTAACTATATTAGTTGCTATATCGGTTAATTCTGTAAACCTTTGAGAACTACTGAAGGAACTACTTAGGAACTACTGAAGGAACAAGTCATGAATAACACAAGTGAAATACTGATCTCATGTTTGTTCATCATTAATGAATCATGTTGCATCTTTTATCTCAAGTAGCTACTATATTTGTCCATGATTGGTACTTCAGTGGTAACTGAGGAATTACCAAGTATTTGTACCCCATCAAATAAAGTTTTACCTATATTTCATTATGATATTTGTTGTTGGTGAGTCATTGTTTCTGGAAGAGTTGAATTATGAAAGAAAAACAACTACGTTGCACGAACCAGACAGCAGAAAGGGCAGGCTGAATTGAACTGGTTTGGGAGGTGACTGGTCATAGTACATAGCATCTGTGAGATTCTGTGTCCCTTAGGGGGCACTCTAGGGAAGGTGAAGCACTGCTTTATGACCTAGGGAAGGTGAAGCACTACTTTATGACCTAGGGAAGGTGAAGCACTGCTTTATGACCTAGGGAAGGTGAAGCACTGCTTTATAACCTCACTGCGTGACAGCCTGACCCTTTCCATGCAGGCTATCTTGATGCCCATGCACTGGCCATGGATTACCGCGGCCTGGGCTTCCGCGAGTGTCTGGCAGAGACAGCCCGCTACCTGAGCATCATCGAGGGCCTGGACAGCACCGACCCACTGCGGGTCCGCCTGGTATCCCACCTCAGCAGCTATGCTTCCCAGCGAGAGGCGCACACAGGACTGGGACACGTGGCTTGGGGCTCTGCGTTCAACACGCCGTCAGCACACTTGCAACATCGGCTCCTCCAGCAGGGGGCGGCACCCTCACTTAGTGCAAACGGCTCATCTTCCGTTGAGAACCAGGCTCCCAGCAGGCTCACCTGCACAGCACGTGATGAACCGGGCCACGGGCCTCTGAGAGTGCCCCCTAGTGGCACCATACCTCCACTGCTTCCCGTCACTATCAAGCTGTCCCCTCCGCTTCTGTCTTCCTTGTCCGCATCTACGTTTCCATTTTCCTTCAGTTCCTTTCCCCTCATCACCACAGAGGCACTGAGTCCCTCCGCCACCTCCCCCACCCTGGGGAAGCCCTACCGGCCATGGAGCATGGAGATAGGAGCCTTCTGAAGTTTCATTCTGGACTAGAGCACCAGCTGAGCTGGGTCTCCATGAACACAGTGGCAAGAATGGCCAGTTGTTCCCGTTACAGTGTTGGTCTTGTAGAGAGAAATACAGGTATTTCATAAAATTACCCTTTCAGAATTTAAATTTCTGGAAAGAACAGAATTTATGTCTACCCTAAATTGGTTTGTGTAGTGTGGGGGAGGGGGGGTGAAATGCTACAACCCCTTTCTTCGGATGATTATAATGGTTACCGATGTCTGTAAAGTCACAGTTAAAGCAATACCTTTGTCAAAGTTCATGGATCAAGGCAATGACCCTCACACATTTTACTAGACTGGAAAAAATGAAATCAAGTGTTTTAAAGAAGTCATCAACACCGGAAACATATGAAAAGACTTGAAGATAGAAAACACAGACGGTCAAAAACAATCTGTCACTGTGCCACCCTCAGATGAAACATTGCTGTGCAATCCTGCCTTTTAAGAAAAAGACGTGTTGGTTTCTTCATTGAATTCTTTTCTTCGGCAAAATTAACGGAATGGCCTGCAACCTACATGCTGGCTACCAGCTGGGCCTTCAGATTTTATGCCTTTAAAATGAGCCTTTCGTTTTTGAATTGTTACCACATGCAGGTCTGAGATTTGCAAAGTTTATTCGTACTTTGTCTTTCTAAGCATAAATAAAATGACAGCGAAAAGACACCACTTTGAATTCTGCTCTTTCGTGAGGCCTTACTAGTATTTGCCCAACTACAAGAGGACAGCCATCAATTAAAAGTACGTTTATATTGGATTACCTGATAGTTTTAATGAAATATTTTATTATCACTTTACATTAACTGCACTTTCATAATGGATTCATAAGGAGCATTTAACATCCTAACATAATTTAACAGCTTTAATATACATTAATAACAAACATTATGTAATCATACAATTATAATTTTTGTCATTAATGTATATTACAACTGTTATATCCTGTTCATTGAAAGTATTATGAATGCCGTGCAGTAAGACATGTTAAGGTATACTTTGATGCTGGCTTATGGATGTACTATGAATGCATTATGAATGTGCAGTTTATGTAAAGCCTTACCCAATATTTAAATTACAAAAATAGATTTTAACTTACATATAGGAAAAGAAAATATTTTGTATATTTGTGAAGAACGTGTTGAAAAGGCTTCAGTTTTGTGTCCCTTTGTTCAGAGTGGGTTAGTTGTAGTAGACAGTGTGTATGTTTCTGTGCTCAGGGCGTAACTTTAAATAAAGCAAAGTTTTGTAAAATCTCCCAATATTCACCTCATTTTCACAGTTCGTTTTAGTTGATGGGAAATGTGTTTTCCTGTTCTGTGTAAGTTACAGTGTGGGGAGATTCAAAATCCATTTCACGATGACAGTGACAATGTCCCATTGTGACTCATAATGCTATGGAGTAATTGTCGTAGACACCCACAGCGAATCTATTTGCGTCTAATCTGCGTCCATCTCCATTTCTGAATTCATTCACAGAAGCAAGTTGTTTCATTTTTAAAATTGTCCTTAGAGTTATTAAATAATAAATGACAATTCAACAAAAAAAAAAAAAAAACAACTTATGTAAACTCTGAAGAGCCTCCTGATCCCAGAACAGAGCTCCATCCTCCAGATTACAGGCCACTCCTCTCTGTTGAGCTACTGCCCCCATGGGTGACTTTTAAGTCAATACGCTCTTCAGAATGTTGGGGGATAGATTTGTTTAGTCTTCTACAATTAATTGGGAAAAGTCATTTTTCAGTACTGTACATGCATCTATATCTCAGTCTTTTACCTCAACCTAGTGGTCACATTTAGTATTACACCCATGAACGCCTAATAGTTACATTGCGTATTACAACAACAGTATGTACACCAACTGGCCATGTTTAATATCGCTGCAGGGTACACCTACTGGCTACATTTAGTATTACAGCTAGACATACCTAATGGCCACATTAATATTACAGCTTGGCACACCTACTGGCCACATTTAGTATTACAGCTAGGCACACCTACTGGCCACATTTAGTATTATAGCTAGATAGACCTACTGGCCACATTAATATTACAGCTAGGCACACCTACTGGCCACATTTAGTATTACAGCTAGGCACACCTACTGGCCACACTTATTGCAGGTACGCAGGTTTCGTACCAGGCAAGCACGCCTCTCGTCTGATTTTCAGAATTTTTTGTTTGTATTTTTCATTGGTTGTCTGTTTGATTCAAGTCACAAAATGCAAATGAGCAGAGGCACAACTTGGAATTTGCAGAAGCCCAAACTTTTATTCAACATGGATTGCACACAGTGGTGCATATGGAAAAAAAAAAGACAAACAGGAAGTATTAGACAGAAATATACAACCAAGAGACTCCAACACATCCAACAACGAAGATACCTCCGCAGAGATTTCCATGCAACCAGTCCAGCACATATCAAAAATCATTCTCTGCAAATGATTGACTGGGAAGCTTATTGACTATGAAGGAATGGGGATATGGCACTAAACTGGGTAGAGACCTGCAACAATATAGTGTTTGGCTCTGCAGGTTAGGGGAAGGGCACAGAAGGGCACCATTTTGAATCCTGGGTCTAACATAGTATATTAAGCTTGAGCAAGGCCCTGGACGCCAGTGGAAATTCATATACACCAGTTTTTCCCAATCTGGTCCTCTGAGACCCTCAGAAGTCACCCTCAAGGGAGCAAAAATGTGGACTGTCTGATAGGGAGCTCGGAGGGAGCAAAAATGTGGACTGTCTGATAGGGAGCTCGGAGGGAGCAAAAACATTGACCGACTGCGAGTCCCCAAGGACTGGATTGGGAAACGCTGATATACAAAAAATACATCACAAACAAAATTATAAACCTGCACAAAGCAACATGTCCGTTGCGTTATGAATAAGAAAAAACTATTTACAAAATAATAGTCGTATTTTCTTTCCAGAAGTGTGTGATATTTAGTTTTAAAACTTAATTTCTAATAATGCCGTGGATGAGATGAGGCTGTGGTGACTGAGGCTTTGCCTTGTCTGCTGTCTGGTAGCAGGGGGGGCTGGTGAGGGCTGGCAGGTGGGCGGGGCGCCGCAGTGACAGCTGGAGTTGATGAGCTCAGCTCTTCTCTGACAGCACCAGCATCAGCTGCTTGTTTCGCCGGACGTCCATGGCATGTCTCTCCTGGCCAGGTATAGAAACTACTTCAAGAAACTAGCTTTAATTGTTCATCCATCCATCCATCCATCCATCCATCGGAGAAACATTTTATTCAAGTGGCTTATTGTCATTCTTTTCTATTTATAGATTTACACCCATAGCTTAAAAAATGTCTCCCGGCTCCCACACGTCCCATCACCTTCTCCTGCTGACGTTCCATTATGGCTGATAGGTAGGCCTCACGGTTTTCCTTGCTCTGCTCCATCTTGAGGGTCAGCTTCTCCTCGGTCACCTTGCTGAAGCTGCTGTTCTCCTCCATGGCCTTAAGTAGGACGTCCCTCTCACGATCACGCTTCTCTTGTAGTGACCTCAGTGCCTCAGCCTCCTGGGACTGTAAGCGCAGCTGGTAACAACACCGCTCAGTACAAAGACACCATCCGTTCCAGCCTCAAAAAAGCTGCACTGTATTAATTCCTACTCTACCACGCACATTATTTCTATATATTTCGGTCTGTGTCTGTATTTACACATTAAATTACAGGTTTGTGATCTAATTACTACTTATATTGGACTGATATAACAAGGATATAACAAGGACCTTCAAGTGTTTTGTATCTCTTACTTTTCTCCTGTCCTCTGCAGCCTCCAGTTTCTTCTGGATGTCCTCCAAAGAGACATCCCTCTTCTTAGGAGGAGAGGGGAGACTGTGGACTGCGTCTGACACTGGGGATGGTGACTTCAGAATGACTTCAAAGGCCTGGCCAGTGACTCTCGTGTTGATGGGCTTGACCTCCATGTCTGCATTGGCCGTGTGGGGGGGAGACCAAAGAGGGGCAAAGGGAATACTCCGGAGGTGGGCTTAGGGAATTAAGATGCCTATTAACCTTCTACACATTCCAACAAGCACCTCTAAAATCAGCATTTAGCTTTCATTCTCTTTTTCCCTCATTCAGCCTTACCTTCAAAGTCACATGATATGCTGCTGCGACGCTGTGGGTAGAAGCAGGAGCAGATCAAGGGGAGAAACGACAGCTCCTTCAGCTTCTCCTTGTAAGCTGCAGAGTGAAAACAGTGTCCATCTTATATCCTCTGTGAAATCACTTATATTTACAGCAGAAGCCCAGAGAGACAAACGATTAAGACCTAGAGCTACGTTTTTTAACTACGATTTGCGACACGAGTAGTTTGCATGCGTATCTGAACCGGAATCACGTGAGATGCTGATACACCTTGTAAGCGTACATAAAGGTTAATTTCAAGAAAAACGTTTTATGAAAGAAAAAGGTGATTCATCTTATACTTGTTATTTCTTTGCACTTAATTATTCATGAGTTTTTTACGTTTGCATAATTCTATGCATTATACAGGACTAATTGAAGTTTAAATTAAGCTCGATAAATTTGTGTGACAAACCAAGGGCAAGCCCAAAATAAACATGGTCATGCCTGCATAAGGCGTAAAACATCGACCAATACCATTCCCGTACCATAACATCATGTTTTACTTTGACTTCATAAGCTTAAAATGTCAGAAGTCTTGAAGAAGCAGGGAACAATAAACCCGAAGCCATCGCTTACCAAGGCAAATCTGACAGAAACCAAAGTAAAACTGGTAACAAACCCGAATGCGGTCCCATTACACATATTTATTACTTATTTGTTTGCTCATTCTTGTATTGTATGTCTTGTATTTCACTATTGCTTGTCCTATTTCCAATGCTCTATACCCTGCAACTGTAGCATAATAATTTTATTGTGTTCCTCAGAAGACATTTGACATTAAATCTTGAATTATTTTCGTACGATTTGTTTTGTAGCTCTGTGCAATATCGTATGAGTAACTCGTTTCCTTTTAAATCTTATTTCATTCCCACTATATAGAGCGCGCAGGGAGCAGTAAATAAACCACCTTCAATTTTGCTTCAGAGACGCCGTAATGCTGCTGAAATGGAGGGGCTGCGGGGTGGGGTCTCACACCGCCCGCTTCAGTATCCCGGTACTAACAACCCGAAATCCGGGTCTAGCGAGTCGGACAGACGTTCACCTTCAAATTAGCCTAGATTTTAATTTCTGTACCGAACGCCACGATTGATGCAATCTATTAACGGATAAAATTTTACTTTAAAACCAGACTGACAGAAATCAGCAGCATTTAAACATTTATTAGTATTTTTGTCTGTCATTTCTCACAGATGATCATCTTATGGCGTTGTCTTGTCATTGTGATCACGCAGCATCCCTTCATTTAGATGCGACGTTCTCCATGATTCATTTTAAAATAACACATTCAAGACCGTTCTCTTACCAGTTGCGGTTTTTTCCATGGTGGTCACCGGTGTGCTACTAAACAACGTCGCAGTTGTGGTTTGGCAGCAAGGGAATGGACGTCTTTAAGGCACTGAGTCAGCAGAGGAAGCTGAGAGAGGAAGAAGGAGCCTGTGAGTTACGGGGGTCCGCGAGCGCGCGCAGGTTGGCCAGCGCGCATCCCGGCGCGCGCACCGGCACGCGCGCCTATATGCACCCCGCACTACGCCGCCGTAATGACTGAGAATAAACCAGGTTATTGAATTCCTCTCTACAATAGGGTAGTAAATCAAAAAAGAAGCCCCTATAGTTATTTCACGATCCCTATAAAATAGCTTGCTGTTCGTATACTATCTCGTTATTATGATTCATTTTGTTCATTTGTCCTCGGACCAGACAGGCTGTCACAGAAGATTCATAATATTTCATATGTAAGTTATTTATCTTGTCCATTGTCCTGCCACTCATGCCCAGGAACTCTTCATTGACAGGTAGGGTCAACTCTTCCCATTTTCCCCTGTACATGACTAAAGTCAGATATACCTGTTATCCATCGGCATAAATTACGGGAGGGTTTGTAACTGGCGTCCCATGCATGGTGAACCCCGGTTTCATGCCCTGCGCTACCTGGGACAGGCACCAGACCCCTGAAGTCCCTCATCACAGTAAGTAGTTGGAAGATTCACTTTTCATATTTTATTCTATTGTTAAAATCCACTAGTAACTTAAAGACAATGGAGGGAAAACAGAGGCTCATTTTTTGACAAATATTTTCCTGCCTAAAAATAAATAATAACGTTGTTCTCAACATTAGTCACAAGATGGCAGCACATATCAAGTTCCTTCAAGATCTGATAAGAATGATTAAAATCGCGGAATTACTGATGGCAAGGTGGTTCAGTGGACGTCGTTGTTACTGTACTGTTATAGTGTTAAGGGTTTGAATGCCTCCTTGGTGTGACGTTTGCGCTGTCTAACGTGGGTGTTCACTTCAGTGCCAAAGCATGCAGTTGGGCAACTTGACATCTGGCTTCAAACTTCCGTTCAGAGTGTATTTCTACGGTGTGATTCCACTCAAGATAAGCATATGGAAGTGTGAAAATATCTGTTGGAGATCACATTAACTAGGTTTAAATGGGCTTATCAACAGGTTTCAGCTCAGCAGTAGATGTGGGCTATTCTCCATTTGAGGAGGGAATTGAGGTGAATAATTCTCAAATGATCAGTTTTGTTAATCACAAAATTAAACCAGCTTAATATTATTAGTAATATGTCCAATTATAAGAGATGGAAAATCAAGAGCTTAATTCCAAATATATATTTTGAGATATTTTAATGTAAGATTCCAAGTTTCTCTGAGGTGTTATCATATCATGAGGCATAAATTTTGTCATAAATTTATGTTCAATTTATATTTCGTTGTGTCTGTATTTAATGACAGCTCAAGTAAAATGTTTGTAATAAGGACAATATTTCAGGGATTAAAACACCAGTGATGGAGCAAGCACTTTGTGGGCAGTGGTGGCTTAATGGTTAGGGAAGCATGCCTGTAAGTGAAAGACTGCAGGTTCAAATCCCAGACCAATAAGACACCACTGAGCAAGGTACCCCCCCCCCCCCCCCCAAGCATTGTTCCCTGGGCAGCTGAATTAGCTGCCCTCTGCTATGCCACAACATCACACATAGGTTAAATGCAGAGAACACATTTCATTGTGGTGTGTCAACAATGACGACTGGTCCCTTTTTTTCATTTTAATTTACAAAATAGCCAAATTTACAAACAAAATAATAATAAATCACTGGTGTCAGAGATAACGTGTGACACTAGTGACTACAACACCAGTGACAAAAATGGAAGATTGTTTTTTTTTTTAATGGTTGCCCCTTTTGGAGTAAGCTGACCTTCTGTAACTATTTAAATCACTGGTGTAAAGGATATAAGACATTATTTTAGCAAAAATTCAAAACATCAGTGACGTGTAAAATTTGTGCTGCCTGAGAAACAAAATAATCAATAAATGTATTTAATAAAATGCACAAGTACAGACTCACCCTCTCCTTCCCCAGGGTGTTTCTCTGTCAGAACAGTTAAATATAGCCCAAGCTATAACTATAAGCAAGTGACCAAAATCTCTTTTTTAAATAAATAACATTTTTGAATGTAGTACAATCTTATGTATACAGTAAAAATGTAACTCTTTTGTACAATTAAGATATACCTTTTAATAATACTGTTTCATATTAAAAAAAAAAAATTAAATGTTGAAATGTGGGTGTGTGACCAAGTGTTTTACAGGTGTAGAGCAACTTTGAAAAAAATAAATTGAAAATCAAATAAATAATTAAGGAAAAACATCCCTCCATCCATCCATTTCTCATACCCACACGTCCTGTGCAGAATCATGAGGGTCTGAAACCTAATCAGTTATTATTATTGTTATTTATTCATATCTCAACTCTCTGAATACCGTGTGACTCTTGTCTAATATTTTAACCATGTTTTAAGCTCTGCAACATGTGACACGGTTTCCTAATCCAAATGCAAAATGACCCATATACTGGAAGAACCATTTTGTGGTCAATTAACAATATTATTTTATTATTTTAAACCTAGTTAGCTTTTAGCAATGATTAGTTATGTGCTCGATCGCTTAACTGCTTAGAGCTCACTCTTGGTGTGCCAAAAGACACAGGCTCAGTCCTCAGGTAGACCAAATATGTTGAGGGTCGTGTATGGCTCTGGGGGTGAAGACTGTGACTGGAGTGTTGCCGGCTCAAACCCTGCGATCGGCAGTTGGACCTTTGAGCGAGGCGTTTAACATTAACTGGTTAATGTCTGGTTGACCCAGCTTTCTCATCGGAATGTTGCGTTGGACAAAAGTAAGCTTCATAAATCAGTGTAAAGATACTGAATAATGCATCTCACCAAAACAGCTGGAATTCATGAGGGCAAGTGCAGTAGCTACTTTCCCCCGAATTGTGAAATAATAGACTGGTATTTGCTTCGGGTAAAGAGATGGGGGACTTTTCCTGGCGAGGCTCTGGTCTTCCCCTGTTATGCAGCATCTAGTTTCTTGGTGACTCAGAGCTGGTGCCGCCGGCAGGTGATACTGCGCGTAGACAGGCTGCATTTCATTATTTTTTTCGGAACCAGGAAATAAGAGGCTGAACTGCAAAGTGCCTTTACCCGGAATTGCTCTATAATGATATACTGATGCGTCGTGTATGTGTTTTCTGTTTATTACATTGTAAAAATACAGCGTGTGCTTTAATAATTAAATAACGTACGTTGCTTTAACCCAAAACAATTATTGCAATACTTATTCGGTGCTCTCCGAACTATATCGGCAGCAAATTAGGGATTAAACCTCAAATCGCTCCTTCCGTGGGTAACTTCTTAATGTATAGATTAACAACGGATTTCTCTCGGAAACATCACTTTACATTTGAAGCATATATACATATTTTTTTTCGCTGAACCGCGGGCTGCGGACCGGGACCCGAACCGAAAACGCCCCTTTAGAGAGGCGGGTTGATAGGGGCGGGAAGCGCGAGTATCCTTTACGTCCCGCCGCCACATCTCACGCCCCAGAGAAGCGCAGCCGGCAGCGCGGTCCGAACCTCGGAAAGCAGGTAAAGCCTTTTCCGTCTGTTATTTATTCACCGTTTCTCCTGTGAACGTCACGTTTAAGCCTAAACAGGTTTATGTGTGGGTTTTTTTTTATAATCCTATTTCCTTTTAGGGAATAAAGGCTTTTTTTTCGTCTAGGGAGTTCAACAGAAACAGGCTTTTCATTTTTAAATAATGGCATGCAGTCTTGCGGCGGGCGGGCAGAGCATCCTCCAGCGCGGAAGCCATGTTTACCACGTGTCATCAAAACGTTAAAACGTTACAATGCGGCGCACCATCAGCGTCCGTATAAGCCAGACATTAAAACGTTCAAACCATGGGTGACCTACGCTCATCTAAAACATTTATCACGACGGGGGGAGCAGCCGACGGGGGGGGGCTCTGTTCTCACGGTGTCCCTTTGCTTGGGAACACGCTGTGACCTTCAGTTCCGCGAAGTTTGTGAGTTGTCAGGACCGCTATAACCACACACAGTTTAAAGCACACAAATATAATTGTTTTTGGCTTTAGTCCATTTTCGAAACGCTCCTCCGGGTCAAGATCACGTTGGGGAGGGGGACGGGGAGCATAATCCCTGGCAGCACAGGGCTGGGGGACACGGGACGGGATGCTAGTTTATCACTAAGGGCGGTTTGCAGATGCCAGTTAGCCTTGTGGGGGTGGGTGACCATGTAAATTCCTCCGTTTTTCCAAGAAGGGATTTCGGGGGGGGGGGGCGTCCATCTGAAATATCCGACTGGGATCTCGCAATTTCCGAGTTGTTACTCTATAGGAGTTGACGACATTCTCAAGACAACACCGTAATGTCCACTGTTCGCTTATAATGTCGTGTTTAATAGAAGTCCCATTTATTTTAGTTTTTAAAATGGCAAAATTAACTAACAAAATTATGAGAATAAGATCTAATTTCTATATTAACTATAACGCAGTTCTTTCTGTGTTAAAGTTGTGAGCTTTATCAATGTTTCAGAACCTGACTTAGTTATCGTTTAATGCTTGTGGACTGGATCATCGTCGTTTGGACCAGGAGCTAAGTGCATTTTATAATAAGGCTTCTACATTCTCAAACTAGAGCCACTGCATTGAGAGGTGAGGTAGAGCTGAAGGAAGAGCTGAAGGAACATGTAAATGGTTATTTTCTTTCATTCCAAAGATGTCTAACCATTTTACTGCACCACAATGGGTTTTTGCTCGCGTGATTATGGGTGATGGTAATTAAGGTAATGTGGTAATTTGGCCTCTGGTACTTTGGACGAGTAGCAACAATTTGCTCACTTCTTCAGTGGGTGAGGTTTCTCATTAGTTAGAAGCCTTGTCGCACACCTGCAGGGTTGACGGTTTGAGTCCCGACTTTGCGTGCTTTTGTCCTGCAGGCAGAACACATACAGGTGGATACCAAAATACTCCACCTCAAGCTAATGCTACAAAATACTGTTGTCAGCACAATTTAAAACAAAGGTTTCATAACAGTTTTTGACACTGGCTTCTTCTGGCTGAAAAGCAGTCGAGTGATAAATAAAGAAGTGATGTGTACCCATGCTGCCCTGGCCAAGAAGTGATGTGTACATGTGCTGTCCTGGTCAGGAAGTGAAGAGTCCCTGAAATGCTGCCCAGTTATGAGTTCATTTCATGCTTTTATCATTATTTTTGCATGACCGTACAAGGAGGAACTGAAACACGCTGCATGCGCATTCCATAAGCATGAGCAATATTAACACCATCAGTGTACAAGTGAATGCTGGGTTCAAGCAGTGAACTCAGATTTCTTTAGGGGAAAAGTTTTTTTCAATAATTTCAACACACACATTTCTTATAATTCAGTTGCAGTTTTCTTTAACAAAAATGTCAGTGTTTTTTTATGGGGTTTACTTGAAGTTGCCTGTTTGTTTATGCAGGTCCACACATGGCGAAAGGTGCAGTTTCCCTGCCCTGAGGTTGCTGGTCGTCAGCAGATCTCTGCCCGTCTCTGCTGCGGTAGCCGTCCAGACCGAGCAGACCATGGGTGCGGAAGGGGACGCCACGTCGACAAACTCCATGCGGCTGAAGCAGGAAATCTCTCTCCTCCACGGGGTCTGCCTCATCGTGGGCAATATGATCGGCTCTGGCATCTTTGTCTCCCCGAAGGGAGTCCTGCTCCACACAGGATCCTTCGGCCTGTCGCTGGTGGTGTGGGTCATCGGGGGCGTCTTCTCAGTCTTCGGGGCTTTGTGCTACGCCGAGCTGGGCACCACCATCCGGAAGTCGGGCGCTAGCTATGCCTACATCTTGGAGTCCT